AACTGGATAATGGCTTGTATTACCTCCCCTAAGTATTCCATTGCTCTAAATGGATCTTTACACGGCTATTTCAAAGGCAAAAGGGGTCTGAGGCAAGGTGATCCCCTCTCACCTTATCTATTCATCCTTGGAATGGAATACCTCTCAAGAAGCTTGAATTTATTAAAAGAGGATAGGAAATTCAAATTTCATCCTAGATGTGGTAAATTCAAAACCACTCACTTGATTTTTGCAGATGATCTCCTCTTATATGCCAAAGGAGATTTATACTATGTGAGTAAGCTTCAACAATGCTTTAGAGACTTCAGTGTAGCTTCAGGCCTTGAAGTAAATTCAAGCAAATGCTTAGTTTTTTTTGTGGAGGAGTAGATGATCCAACCAAGATCTCAATTACCAGTTGCTTGGGGGTATCCAGAGGGAGTTATGCCTACTAGATACCTTGGTGTCCCTCTTATTTTCAAAAGGCTATCATACTTGGAGTGTGCACCTCTCTTTAACAAAATCATGGACCAGTTTTAGTCCTTTGCAAGTCATAGGAACTTATCATATGCTGGGAGGCTTCAAATAATCAAAAGTGCAATTCTGGGAGTGCAAGTTTTCTGGACATCCAACTATATTTTACCTGCTAGTGTACTTCAAAAAATTGATATGTTGTGCAGGAACTTCCTGTGGGGGAAACCAGATCATAATGTCAAAGCTAATTATTTGGCCTCATAGGATAAAGTGTGCTTGGGAAAGAAATATGGAGGCTTGGGAATATATTCAGCTTCCATTTGGAATTTTGCTTCAGCTCTGAAAATTCTATGTAATATCCATACTAGCAAAGAAGGCCTGTGGATAAAATGGATACATGGCACCTATCTAAAAGATAGGAATATCAGGCTAGTTTAAGCAAAGAGTGGGGATTCATGGATGTGGAAACAGATCCTAAAAACTAGAGACAAAGCCTTGGCTAGTTTAAGCAAAGAGTGGGGATTCATGGATGTGGAAACAGATCCTAAAAACTAGAGACAAAGCCTTGGTCTTCAGTGGAGGTATTGAAAATCTCATGGATGTGGAAACAGATCCTAAAAACTAGAGACAAAGCCTTGGTCTTCAGTGGAGGTATTGAAAATCTAAAGCAAATAATTAGTTCTTGTATCAGGAATTCAAAAATTCAGATGTCTGAGCTCTATCATACTCTCTCCCCTACATCAAGCATAGTCCATGGCATAACACAATCTGGGAGGGAATATGTCATCCTAAGCACTCCCTTGTGAGCTGGTTAGCTGTGCAAAATAGACTGCTTACTCAAGATAAACTACTTAGATGGGTAATAATTATCTGCAACACTTGCTGCTTATGTGCAGGAGCTTTTGAGGAGAGCAGAGATCACTTATTCTTTGATTGCTGCTATTCAAGTGATGTCTGGTTGCTTGTGATGGATTGGCTGAAATTGACATGGAGATCTTGTGTGTGGAGTCACATTATGAATTGGTATTGTCACAATTTAAGAGGGAAGGGGTACAAGCAAAAAATCAAGAGGATGACTCTATCTTCAACACTATATAGTGTTCGGATTGAGAGAAATAACAGGATCTTCAAGAATAAGAGCTAAAGTGTCGATCAATTGTTTAGGGAAATAAAGATCAACATATTGTACATAGTTCTTAATAGCACAAATTTGGTTGAAGGGAGAGAGTGGATATTGTCATTATAAATATATAGAGTAGCCTGTTAAGTTTGTAAACTCAGGTTATGAGTATCTTGATGTACTCTCATTTCGTATTGGTGAATGAATAAAGTTTTTTTATTGACCAAAAAAAATCATAGGTTAAGAATACAAAACTGAAAAATAGAGAAAAAATAATGATAAATGACGGAGACACATGGATTTACTAAGGTATATACGACAATTGATATGAATTTGGATCCTCTCCACTACAAAAAAGTAGTGGAGGGACCACTACTTCTAATCTCAATCGTTGATTACTTAATAAGCGGTTATGATACAATCTAAATATAACACTTACCATACCCCTATCTATTATAATCATTTCTAATTTGCACTAAAAAAAATCACAACCACCAACTAGGGTTCCGTTTGGATACCATGGTGTTTTACTTGTTTCCATGGTGTTTTTGCCAAAAACAAAACGCCATACGTTTGGAAACCATGGTGTTTTTTGAGCTAAATCATCCTCAAACCAAAAACACAACACTTATTTCGAAACACCTTTTAGGTGTTTTAATATTGGTGTTTTGGTTTTGAGTTTGAGAATGTGTTAATATAATATCTAATATAATATATTAAATGTAATTAATATAGAGTTATTATCAACATGCTTATTATATTATATTACAATATACTATATTATAGTTAATTTAATATATTAGTAATATATTAAATAATATAAAAATATAATAAATAAAATATCTTATATAATAATATAATAACATATTAAATATCAATATTTAATATGTTAATAATGTATTATATAATAATAAAATATAAATAAAATAATAAAAAAGTTATTGATAATAAATAATAATATAATAATGATATAATAATATACTAGTATTGTATAGTCACTATAATATTATTAACACTTTAAATAAATAAATTTTAATAAAATAATAATTATTAAATATTATATAATAGTAACATATTTAATAATAACATAACAATATAATAATATTATTATAATAACATGTTGTATAGTAAATGTAATATAATATATAAAATATTAATATATTATGTAATAAAATAATATAATTTATTATAAAGTAAAATAAGTTTTAATAATATAATAATTTATTGCTAACAAATGTTAATGTAAAATAATATATTCATAATATAATAATATTTATTAATATCACAAATACTAATATATTATTAAAGTACTATTAATAACTGTAACATATTAAAAACTATAATATGTTATATAATATTAAAATATTAATAATATATTAATTTATTAATAACATACTAGTAATATCATAATATTAATATTATAATACTATAATAATATAAACTAAATATTATAACATTTTATTTATAATATATTTTATAATAATTAATATATAATATATTAATAATATGTTTAATACTAATGTTATAATGGGTCAAACTAGTGTTGACAAAAAACACTTAACATGCTGTTTTGAATGCATTTTAAGGGAGAAACACAACACTATGATATTTTTTTTATAAAAACACAATAAGAAAAACACCATGGTATCCAAACAAAGCCGATAATCAATGGTTGTGATTATTTAGTGGTCCCTCCACTACGTTTTAGATAGTGAAGAGGATCCGAATCTGATTGATATGGCCTACATCCTAAAGTTACAATCAGTTGGTCATGATTCCACTACTCATCAATAAAAGATTAACAATATCAAAAATTCTAAACTTACATGTTTTGTCTGTCTCTATTTTTCTCTCTTTCAGATACAAAAATAATAGGCGCGTAATTAAGATAGATACTTATAGCATTAGGGCTTCTCCCCATAAAGCCGAAATAATTAATATATCCTCATCATACAATTGTATGATCAAAACTTCCTTATTGAGCCACTGTCCTAGACACCGTTCACAGGGGCACTACCCCTCTTGCTCCCTTGCCCACGATAACAACCCCCAACCCCAACCGCCGCCCCCCACCCCACTGCCGCGAGCGCCCCATCCCCCCCCAAAAAAAAAAGCCCCACCAAAAAAAAACACAAATTAAAGTGCATATACCTGTGGGAGTTCAATTGTGGAGCTAGTGACATATATTGTCAATATAAATGATCATGTTCCACAATATGGACAAAATTTAAGATTGCCACGATAATTTTCATGTACATTCTCATGAATAGTTGGAACCAATTCAAAATTATGGCAGATCGCGGGGATCAAACCGCAAGTGATCCTCCTCCCATCCATGGGATTAGTACTCTTTTTACCGGTCTTTGGGCAAAGTAATTTTTGAATTTGAAAATGGTTTAGAGAAATTTTTTTTGTCGAGGGTTATCTAGTCCTTATCGAACTCAAACCAAATTAATGACGTTTCAAGGATCATCTTTGCTTCTTCTCTATTTTGTACGTAATGGATAGTGATATAGGAGATTGTGTAATATTACTATTCCCTTATGTTCTGTTACAATATTTGTTTTCATTGTCCTATCCTTTAAATTTTGTAATCTTAATTATGGTTATATTGCTCAAGTATGATATGAGTTTGAAGTTATGGTTTTATATTCTAAACATAAATCACATCATTATATATAATTCACTCAGAACATCATCTAGAAATATTAAACTAGTGACAATGAAGACGATAGAAAATTACTGCAATTTACCCCAACATGCAGATACACTGGCCGGAGTTTAGGTCAATGTAGCCACAAAGAAGGGATGATTTTGATCAATTGCTCAAACCGACCAAGGCATGGTTTTTAATATGAAGGGTAAGTTGAAAATTGAACACGATGCAGCCATTGAAATTGGACCAAAAACAATACAAGAGACAAAAATGTAGCTAGCTAAAACCAAAATGACTGACCCTTTAATTAATATGCCTTATCTTCATTCGTCCCAAAATTGAATAAGTAGACACAAGTTAATGAACAAAGAGACGGGTCAAATGCTGAATCCCAATTTTACTACCTATGTAGGCCAATTTCTGGCAAAGTTCTAAAGGAACAAAATAATGTGGGTACTTCAAAGATATCACTTTCTCAAATGCTCAAACGAGTAAAGAGAGGAATTTGGAGGTGGGTAAAGTATTAGAGGACCCTTGGAGAATCTTAATGCCATTGCAAAAGGACCCCATTATCTCATCTTTCCATGTGTTGGAATTTTATATACTTAGCCCGGACCCAACGAGTGGCATACTCGTAAAATTACTTGATTCCAAAGTAGTTTAATTGGATGGGGGAATTAGAGAGAAGGAGAGAGAAGTAATTATAGGTACTGAATCCAAACTCCGTGGCCCTCTATATAAAGGCCAAACCCCTTCACTTCTCTTACTCGCAACAAACAAGCTAATTGTGTTTTCAAGAGAGCTTATATAGCTAGCTAGCTCTTGGTTCTTCCATTAAGCTAGAGCTATATCTACTACTTGTTTGTTACCTTATTTGTCAGCAGCCATGGTTTCGGCCGACATGATCCGCACCTGCGTTGGGATTCTAGGTTGGTCGCTCATTCCAACTGCATGCGCGTGCTTAGAGTATTTGATTAGTTGCTAATTTGTTAGGACACACAAATGGGCTTTAGCTTTAGTTGTGCGCTTATTGGAAATTTATCATGTTCTTTCTATAGACTTCAATCTTCTAGTTCAGTCTTCTTTTCTCGGTGACCTTTCTTCTGCATTCCCTTGGATACGTGGGTATCTACTATAGAGGATGCATTTAATTTTCTTTGCCTTCATTTTATAAAATATGTTGTGAAAGGGGTAACGTCTTTTTATGTTTTTTTTTTAAATTTTATCTTAGTCTTCATGGGAAAAAAGATAATTCCCAGCGATAACATGTAGGCTATCTAAAGATTACAAGAAGTATATTTTTTTTCCCCTCGTAGATTTTGTTCTTCGGGTATTTTAAAATATAAAAGATCTTCTAGAAAGTTGATAGCATATACAGGGAAGAAATTAAAATAGTGAAAATTTCAGATATATATAGACGCTAATTCATTCCCTCTCTTGTGCAGGAAATGTGATTGCTCTGTGCTTGTTCTTATCACCAGTGTAAGTAAACGTAACCCGCCTTTAAGTTTTATTTCTTTTTCGGCGAAATCCAATTAAATATGAATCCTTATTCTTATTCTTTCTTTCTCTGTTTTTTTCAGCCCAACTTTTTATAGGATAGTGAAGAAGGGTTCGGTGGAGCAATTCTCGGCCGTTCCGTACTTGGCCACTCTCTTCAACTGCATGTTCTGGGTCGTGTACGGCCTCCCCTTTGTGCACCCACATAGCACTTTGGTGCTGACCATTAACGGGTCGGGTATGGTTATCGAGCTCGCCTACGTGCTCCTCTTCATAATTTACTCTCAGGGCTCCAATCGGATCCGGGTGCTGGTTATGCTAGCTGCTGAGATCGCTTTCGTGGCCATCGTTGCCGTGCTGGTTGTCACGTTCACTCACACGGTGATGATGAGGTCGATGATCATTGGAATCTTGTGTGTTTTCTTCGGTACCCTGATGTATGCTGCTCCCTTGGCCGTTATGGTAAGTTTCGTTATAGCTAACTCTCACTAATTAAGGATTTGTTTGGCTTATAAAATTTTTGACTACAACTCATGAGATTGTATTTTGTAAGCAGTCATTTGTAATTGCAGTTGGAGTTGTTTAGTTTGTAGGTGTAGCTCGGAATGATCTTCTCTAAAAACGATGGATAAATTACATGAACACTATAAACTTTTGGAGTTTTACAAGAAAAAGAAAATCTCTACAAACATTTGTAATTTAGAGAAAATCGTTATGAAAAATTTTCACTAGCTTTTTACAACTTACGACGGTTCCAAATTTTATAATTAATATATCTCAAATAGTTTTTGCAGAAAACATTACCTCATTGCAAATGTTATTATAAAAAGAATATAGATCAAAAAAATAAAAAGGGTGAAAGCTGAGTTTGCTCTTTTGTGAATTGCACCTACAATTAAAATTCCTGATTGGGGAACTGGGGATCCACTAGTTTAAATCAAGTAAACATGCATGATTTACATCATGTATATATACATGCATACATACATGTGTGTTTGCATGAATTGTCACTTTCGCCATAACATGATTACTTATGCCTCCTAAAATTACATCTCACCCAACAACCCACATGAAGTTTTGGTTGCTTTATTTGAAGTTGAAAGTGAAGAGAATAAATGGGAAAAACTTTATGGTTGATTACTTTGTAGTGGAAATCTCTTTCTGCCAACAATTTGCGACTTCAGGGATGGCAAAAAGTATACAAGCCTTACATGATTAAAATCTCAAGCAGTACAAGAGTTTTTGTACATTAGATAGATTTACTGTTCAATTATCTAAATAGTGTAGTCCACGATGAATATGATTTGACTAAGCATTTGAGCTATTAAAACAAGTGCATAGGTCAATTACATTGACTTGCTCAGTAGAATTAACATGCATGGCACATGCATTTGAGTCAAATCTGCTCGTCTTGTGCAAATACTCTGGAGTAGTGGTTGGAGCTTAGGCCCTTGGCCCTAAAGATCAATGGTCAATCCTTGTTTATGACATGTCTATCTCTAATTTCTAATTATTAGGCATTGAAATATTTGTAGTATTCACCTGAGTCGTCTAGACTATGAAAAGAGAGCCCAGACCCCAGGTTTACTTGGCTGGTACTAAGTTAATGTTCCTCTTTAAAAAAATGTTCAGATACTTTTTGTACCACAATGAATAAATGTTTTGTGTTGCTTTTTACTGAACAGTTTATTTATTCTGTATGATCCAGAAATTGGTGATCCAAACAAAAAGCGTGGAGTTCATGCCACTTTTCCTCTCGCTTGCCTCTTTCTTCAACGGCCTTTGCTGGACTACCTATGCCCTCATCCGTTTTGATCTCTACATTACAGTGAGTACTAAAAAAAGAATAAAAGAAAATAGATGATAATCAATTTATAAATGAATTAATCAACTAATTAAATATAATAATGTTTGCTTCAGATTCCAAATGGGCTTGGGGTGCTCTTTGCAATGGCTCAACTTGTGTTGCACCTTATATACTACAAATCAACCAAAGAACAAATTGAAGCTCGCAAGAGAAAGGCTGAGACTGGCCTCTCTGAAGTTGTCATCTTCGGAGAAGCCAACAAGGTCAGCAACGCACCGGCGCAAGTTAACGGCCACCGGTCGGAGGCCTAATCAGTTTCCGGCATGATCGTCGGCCGATTACTGTTTTAGATTTACTTTAGTAGGTAGTTTCCATGGCTTCTTAAGCTATGAGGGGTTCTAGTGACCAAGGTGCACTTAAGCTTAGAGATAAAAAGGCTCTGGTTAAAAGATCAGATTGCCTCCTCCTCCTCCTCCTCTGTTTACCAGTCTTTAATCATGAAGAAAAGACTATGGAATTTTATCTTTTCGAGTGTTATTATGTTGGTGGGAACCACAATATCAAGCTTTATGTTTGTAATTAATGCGATGCTTTTTCAATGCAACGGATGATGAGAATATTCAGTGTTTACAGAATAATCTATGCATATTTTATCCAAAAGAATGCATAAGTAGTATAGTCTCTTGTGGTGTGACTCAAATACTTAACCTGATATTTCTGGTAGAGGCTGTAGTGAATAGGAGTCCATTGTTTTTGTGGGAGTGTAGAATAATTATATGAATTTAAATTCCTATTTTGATAAGGATAAACAATTCATATTGTGGGCTTAGAATCTTATTGGACTTTAAAACATGTAGACTTTTATTCCTACTAGAACTCCTACTATGTAGGTAGCAAGGAGTTGGGGCCTTCAAGATTATATATGTACAGTCTTTCAAGCTAATTGTAATCATCAATCTACAGAGTATCAATCAAGAAGAGAGAGAGTTCTCTTGTGAAACCTATCTGATATTTTTCTTTTTTGTTCCTTTACTTGAGATAGATTGTATTAGGCTTTTGGAGTGTACTAGGGATTAAGTGATTAAGAGATCTCCATATTGTATTCATCACAATTTAGTAAAACCATTCTCCTCCTTCACCTGTGGACATAGGCTACCAACCAAAAAACGTATATACGTGTGTTATTGTCTTCTTGATATTTTTCATACTTTCGTACGATTGATATTAGTTTATCCTGATAATTTGTTATAACATAGTCTCTAATAGAAAATTGGAGAAAGCGTTTGCATATTTAGCTAGTGATCATGTTGGCATGGATCCCTTCATCCCTCACTAGGCCTGTCCATTTGGGCCCAAGGTACGGGCATGGCTCGAAAATCCGGGCCTATCCAGGCTCCAGGCCCGGGCTTGGGATGGGTTTCGGGCCAGGCCCAGGACCGCTTCGCACGGTGTCGCACCGGACACGGTCCAATACCGCGCCAGAAAAGGGCGGGCCGGGCGTGGCTCGGGTATGGGCTCAGACTTGGCGGAAAATACGCTGGCGGTCGGGCGTCAAAACGGTCACATTGACCGTTTGGTCGGGTCGACCGGAGCCGCTCGGACGGTCACGAATGTGACCGTTGCCCGGGCAGGCCCACCAGGCCTGGTCCGAACAGCCATAACGACCATTTTTGAGCTTTTGACTAAAATATCCCCCAAAATGGTGAAAATTTAAAGGTATTTTGATCATTTGGCTAGAGGGCTGCCTCTATAAATAGAGGGAGTTTTTATTTATTTTTCTCATCCAAAACTCATCTACTTCTCTCTAATACTCTATAATACTTTCTCATTCTCGCTTTTGCTCTCTAATTCTTCAATTAAATGGTTTCCTCCTCTGATTATGAAGGGCAAATTTCAACTCCCGATATTGAAACGAGTCTTATTACTCATACTACAGGAGCTACAGTTACTCCTCCTATCGATGTTGATCACGAATCCGGTGACGATAATTCTGCACCTAGAGCTCTTAAAAGCTGAGATCCGATGTGTGGAACTTCTTCGAGAAGATAGAAGTCACAAGGGATCAACACGGTAGGTTTCTCACCCAGAAGGCTAAGTGTGCGTTGTGCGGCAATATTTTCTAAGATCATCATAAAAGCGGCACCAACCACCTCAAACGTTATTTAGAAAAGCACAACAGAGGTCAAGTAACACCTCAAGGTGATATCCGACAATCTTTACATTCACAATCTTCATCCTCCGGTAGTCTCGGTAGTTGGAACTATAATGCAATTAAAACAAGGAAATGTGTCATCAGGTTTATTATTTTGAAAAACATTCCTTTTAAATTAGTAGAAGACGAGAATTTAAAGATATGATTACAGATGGTTTTTATCCCGCATTAAAAAAAGTTTCTCGTCAATCTTATCAACGTGATATTTTGAAATATTATCATGGGGAACAAGCAAAAATAATTTTTTATTTTCAAAATTTAGAGTGTAAATTTTTTAACTTCTGATATTTGGACATCTAGAGCACAAACTGGTTATTTATGTATCGCAACACACTAGATTGATGATAATTGGCAAATGCTTAAAAGAATTATTTCTTTTATTGTATTTGAAGATTCACATAGTGGTATTAATATTGCCAATTTAATAATATAAGAACTTATAAAATTAGATATTTTAGAAAAAATATTTTCTCTTTCACTAGATAATGCAAGTAATAATAATGTAGTTATTGATCATATCAAATTATCTTTATTATTGCCATATCATGGTGATATTTTTCATATTAGATGTATGTGTCATATTTTAAATTTAATTATTCGAAGTATATTTGGTGAAATTAAATCCATGATAAAAAATGTTAGGAATATAGTTTATGCTTATAATACTTCTGAATAAAGACTTAAAAGATAAAAATAATTGTGTAAAAGAAAAAATTTAAACCAAAATTAATTCCAAAAGATATTGATCATAGGTGAAATTCTACTTACGCAATGTCAAATGTAGCAGTAGAGTATAAAGAAATTATAAATGATTTTATTATTTTCTATACTTTTAGTTCTAGTTATGGTAATATGTATGGAATAATTGAGGATAAATGGTTAGTTATATATAGTGTAAAATAGATATTACAAGTTTTTTATGATGCTACTATGTTATTATCTGGTTATTATTATCCAACTATTATTCAAGCTGCTTTATAAGTTTTAAATATTTAAACTTTTTCTAATAAGTATCATATGAATAATTATTTTAGAAATATGATTTTTCAAATGGAAAGTAAATTTAATAAGTATTTTAGGCATGTTCCTAATATTTTTGGTTTGAGGATTCTTAATGATCCATGTTTGAAGGATGTTGGCCTTCGAAATTTGTTAAATTCTTTGTATGGTAACATGATACTAGCCACGGATGATGGTCAAACTATTACTACTTTTACTCATCATAATACTATTAGAACTTATTTTTGAAGATTATATGATGAGTATGCAGCTAGATATGTGATAATTATATTTTTATTATAATTTTATACCTTCATTATATATTTTTCATGAATAAATATATCACTAATAATTATTTTTATCTTTAATTGCATCTTAATGAAGAATAAAGCCCAAGATCTCATCTCTCAACAAAAGCCCATGAATTAGTGAAGAATACAAGGAAAAGCCCAAAAAGCAAAAGCCCAAAGCCAATGGAAGAAAAAGAATTCGGCCAGAAATAGAGAAGCATTGCTATCGATGGGAGCATCGATGCCAGCATCGATGCCCCTATCGATGCTGACCCTTCTGTTACAATCCTATGGCTAAAAATGAAGGGTTATGGATAATAATTCAATCCAATGGCTCTAATTCACTTATGTTTACTATAAATAGGGGTAGAAAGTGAGGAGTTAAGGGTGTAAAAAATTTTGTATCTCCATTTAGAGAGGAGAGTTACTCTTAATTGAGAATACCTTCCAAATTTATAACTTTTTGTTATAATTAATAAAATAATTTTTTTCACCACTTCATATTTTACTTCTCTTTGTTGGATGATGAAGATGAAGATGAAGATCAATTTGGAGGTTTATTTTTATTTTCTCTTTTATTTCTTTTCTTATTACTTAGTAGTTTAGATTTATATTAATGTCTTGTAATGTAGATTTACTTTTATGCTTTTATTCTCTTACTTTAATTTTTTTCATTTAATTCTTGTAATTTATTGTGTAGTTTAGTTCTTACAATTTATTTTGTAGATTAGATTTTATCTTCTTGTACTATTCACCTTGAGGCTAGAACTCAATTGGGATTTTTTTTTTTTTTTTTGCTTGCTTGTTTTTATTTTCTTTAATTCACCTTGAGGCTAGAGCCCTCTAGGGAATTGCCCTTTTCTTAGATGTGAAATTAATTCTTATTAGAACTCTAGAAATTACATGAAACTAGCTTTATTTCTCTTATGATTTGTTAATCATTCTCTCATTCTTAAAATATTTATGCTTAGGATAATTAACTAAAGAACTAATTGGTAGAAATAATTCTAGAATTACTATTTAGTTATTATTCTTTTCATGAGTAATAATTTTGCTTAGATGATAATTTGATAGGTTATACTTTTCTTAAATGGTTTGATAGTCTAATACTTTTCTTAAATGGTTTGATAGTCTATGCTTAATAAATCTAAAGTAAAATATGATAAAAAGAGAATAGTTTATATTTTATAATTGAGATTAGCTAGTGAATTCAATTCTAGATTTTTCATATCTTTAATTGAATCATCCATCTTTTCTTTCTTAATTTTTCCTTAGTTCTCGATTTTCTCTTATTCGTTTTTTATTTTTATTTCCTTTATTTTTCTTTCCTTATGATTTTATTTATTATTTTATCACATCCACTCTTCATTTCTATCATCTAAAATCTCATTTATTGACTTTTGCACATATTCACAATACTCCTCATATCTCTCCACAACCATAATTTTCATCACTCCTAATTGTCACACACACAACAAAAGAATTGAATCTAATTTTCTCCTACAAACACCTTCCTCGTGGGATCGATAACTTTTTATATTATAACTTGATTAGTTGTGTACTTGTAATTTTTGGTACATATTTATGTCCTATCAAGTTTTTGGCGCCGTTGCCTGGGAAGTTTTAGGTCTCATGTTATGAGCCTACATCTTCTAATCTTGTTTTGATAATTACAAACAATTTCTAATATTATTTGTCTAGTATTTATGTGAGCTTATTAGGTATTTTAGACAAACAATAAGTTGGAGGTTGGATGATTTGAGCCTTCACGATCACATCAAATGGAGGTAGGCGGAATATCAGTATGAAGCTATTAGACATCAAGTCATATTCACGATCAAGCTTCATCCGCAACCAAGTCAGAGCTTATTGAAGATCAAGATCATCGTTTGGTATATTAGTTTAGGTTTTATATTATGTATGTTAAATACTTCAAGCTCAATCATATACACACATACACATTTTGTTTATATATATATATATATATATATATATATATATATATATATATAGGATGGAATCGAGCCTCAACGATCATATCCAATGGAGGTTAGCGGAATACCGGTATGAAGCCATTGTACATCAAGTCATATTCAAGATCAAGCTTCATCCGCAACCAAGTCAGAGCTTATTGAAG